TTAACATTTACTATGTATTAAAGTTAGTGGTTGGTATAACTTGGAGGTATTTCATACCTTTACATTCAAGTTGATTTAACTTCCTAATTCTGAGATGCCTGTGGCAAAATGATAGTGAAGGTGAAACGGAATCCTTTTCATTTCAGAGCCACAAAGCTCTCTGCCAACAGAAAAGGAGCATTATTTTCAACACCTACAAGCTACAGAGGTGACAGTTATCAGGACTCCCACCGTGATGAAAGAAAACTAGCACACATGAGATTATGGTCATACAAATTTTAGGGAGAAGATAAACAAGTCATCTGATTTCCCTTTCCCTGGGGTCATGCCCACTGTTCCTGGCCCATTTCATTATCATTCACTCACTCTCTTAAAATCATTTGTTGGGCACTTGCCCAGCACTGAGCTCTGTGCTAGGCACTGAGCACATGATAGTGAACCAGCCAAATCCACAGACTGCCTTCTGGGAGCTTACAGTCAGTGTTCAAGCATGTGTACCCGGGTGTCTATTCTCCCACTTGCTCCTGAGCCAACTGCCTGAGAGAAGAATTGGATGCCCAGAGAACAACAGAGGGACCAAACAGTTATATTTTTAATTCCTAGTTAGATCCCCAAAAGAGCTTAAGATAGTAAGTGCAGTGTGGGTGGCAGGAGAACCATAACCAACAGTATATTCTAGATAGGCTGTGGGGTCCTAAAGGACAGTGTGGGGGAAAACCAAGGGTATGAGAAGTACTGGCTAAAAATGGCTCAGGAAGGGGCTCGAACAAAGACAGGGAAGGAGAAAGAGAGGATCTGACTCCTCACCAGGCAGGAGTACTGGTTGGAGCCCTGCTGTTAGAAAATGCACACTTTCATGTTTCCTTACAGGAAGTATCTGCTGCCCATTACCTAGGGCCAGAATTAAGTGTTACCAAGTGGAATACACAAGTGTTCAGGCCTCTGAATTCCTCCCCTATATAGTAAAGGTGCTGCTGGCCCAGCCTCCTGCCCCCTCAGCCATTTCAGAGTACAGTACACCCAGCAGATCTTGGGGAGACACTAGAGTTTTTCCAAAATGTCGGGAAGGGGAAACCCAATGAGGACTTACAGGCAAAGACAGGAGAACTTTTCTCTACAGAGTTGTGCCAATGGAGACCACTCAGTGTTACCAGCTGGTCTGAGGGCATTTTTCAAAAGGGGTCTGCCTCATATTTTAATCTGGCATACACAGATTTATGGCCCAGAACAGCATTTTCATACTGAGTCACAACGCATTAGTGAGATACAAAATCATGTGGATTCAGCCAATATTTTAATGAAATAGAATAAAATCAAACAGCACAGAATAGGAAATATTACAGTACACTGTTGGTAGTAAGAATAAACATTGTTTTATGAAACTTGTTTCCATTCTAAACACACACACTGTTTCTATTTTACACAAACCTATGTCTCACTATCTAAATCTATTTGGTTCCTAAGCAATAATACATATAGCAAGGGATCCTATGAAACTCTGCTTTAATTCCTTTGCCATATAAATGTACTCCTTTAAATTGTGGATCAGGTTGGGTGGGGGGGTGATGGTGATTGAAGTTCACTAGCTTAAAGAAACTATAGTTAAGTAGAATGGATATTTATTTAAAAATTTATTCCAAGATAATTTAACACACTCTTCTTTTGTACTAGTTATCTTTCATTTGGTTTCCCTTAACTTTTGTGTGTGGGAATACATCTCATTTTGCATACATTCTTTCAGTCTCATATTACAGAGAGAAACAAAAGGTGGGAAATAACTGAAAACAGGACCTGGGTTTGGATGCATAATCCCCACCACAGGGCAGCCCAGGCCAAATCCTGTTGGTCCCTGTGCCAAACCACTGGACAGAATCTGGACCAGAAGCAGGCTCTTTTCTCCCTTAGAAAAAACTTTAAAAAGCCAATTTCTCAAATCACTGGGCAAAGGACCAACTACTCTCTAGGATAGGGAGCCTTGAATAGGATCATGGCCAATTCATATTTATAAACAGAACTGAATTTGTTGGGGCATCACAATTTTTGTAAACTTTTTGACAAACTCTATAAACAAAGCAGTATTTTCAAAAGTGATTTTAGAAAAATTAAATTAGTTTGCCTGATACTCTTTAAATAATCCTCCTTACCCCCACCCCCACCACTCACCCCTTATCCTGATACATATATATATAGTAAAATAAGAGCTATCACACGGCCGTGGGCTACCTGTGAAACAGTGTTGCCAGCACTATACAGGGACTTCAACTGGCTTTCACTGCGCTCCCTAAAATTCCCAAACACATCCTCAGGGTGTGCTGCCCTAATAGTCACATGTCCAATCTTCTTTAATTCAGGAGTCACTAGCCTACAACAGATAGTTTTAACAGAGGAATGACTACTCACAAATTAACTTAATCTAGTGGGGATTGTCGATACCCTGGAACTAACCACAATGACATTCCACACCAAGGTCTTTGTTCCCTTAACATCTTAATGACAACTGTGTAACTAATGAATTAAATGTTTTGGCCTTAGAGTCACCACTGATAGGCAGATTTGGCCCAAAACTGAGAGTTAAGAGAGTAAAGACTTGAAACCAATCGACTGAGTCTCAACTTTATCCCTAGTGGAGGAAGGAAGACTTCTGTCAGTCAATACCTATAATTATAATTCTGCTATATTCTCTGGCTATATAGATTCTTAGTATTATATCTGTAACATTAGTTGCTTTATGTTTTAGGTTTATTTTGTTGAAAAAAATAACTGATCATGAAGTGACATTTCTCAGTCTCAGCCAAATGGAGTAAGTATGCACCTCACCAATACTGCCATCTACAGAGAACTTACCTAATACACATGACTACTGAAAAGCAGCAAGAGAGAGAATTTTTAGTTTTCTCAAAATATTCTAATTCTGTGATTTGCAAGGTAATCAAACAACTAGAAAGCAAGTGAGAACCTCAGCAATACATAATTGATTTATATTTGTCTTCCAAATTTGTCTTCCAATTTTGTCTGCAAAATATAGCACAAAGCTTTTTTAAAAAATAAACTTCAAATTCCTTAGGTTTTCCCTACGAAGTCTACCATCCATAGATGTGTACAACTGACAGTTTATTTTTTCTAACCAATTTTCCATTCGTCAAATTAAAGAAATGTCTTGAGTTTCCTGATGGCAAAGCTATTCATAAAGATAATATGTGTTATTGAGAAGTCCGAGTCAATTAGGCATCTAGGGCAAACGTTACTCAGAAAGCAGTTAGATTTGGTGGTGGGACAGTCCCTTTAGCACCAGCAGACACTTCCTCTACTAGGTGGCAGTTTCTAAAACACCAAGTAAACAATTGTAAGTAGATTATCTCTTTAATCAGAAATTTACACTGCTCCGCTGCAGCTCACCGTACACTTATAGTAAGGTTCGAATCTGAAGAAAGGAGACACTTCATTTATTTCCAACCTATTAGCGAATGTATACAATAGCACATCTTCAGATGAACATTGAAAATTTTGATCAAAGTAGGATATGTATGTATATACTATTCAATGCCCAAGTATTTTGGAACGTTTTTTTCAAGATTATTTATTTGAGAGAGACAGAGGGCACGAGTGAGTGGGGGGCATAGAGGGAGAGGAAGAATCTCAAGCAGACTTCCCACTGAGCATGGAGTCCATTGCAGGGCATGGATCCCAGGATCCTGAGATCATGGCTTTAGACAAAATGAAGAGTTGGATGCTTAACCAACTAAGCCACCCAGATGCCCTGGAAAATTTTTAAACAATGACAAAAGACTACATTTTCATTCAGAAATTTTGCCTTTCTTACATACCTTCTATATCTATGAGCCATTAATAGTAGTGGCAAATTGGGGGGGGAGGGGTGTGAGGTGACCCTTACACCCTCCCACCAAGTACCAAAATCCATAATCCTACACTGTGGTCTTCAATGGCATTAAAAAAAAAAAAAATGGTTCTTAGCTAAACTCTTTCCAACAAAAAGAGAATAGAAAATAAAATTACAAGTATTAAGTACAGAAGCTTCAACTTGTCAACACTTGAAATTACATTTTCAGATTCCCTACCATAAACGGCCTGGATCTAAAATGAGTGTTGAAAGGAATTCTCTTTACCTACCAGTAACAGAAAGGAAAGAAGGAAAAAAGAAGAAGGGAAAGAAAAAAATAATTTTCTATGTTTAAAAATTTGAGAACATATGGCATCATCCACATGGCAAAACCACTCTCTACCTGTTTGGATCTTCAGAGGAGAGATGAGGGACATTTCTGCAACCCCAGAGAGATAGCTTTTTGCATATATAATTTAAATAAATCACTCCAGCATGAAAGAAGAGCAGAATTCTTCTAATTACCACTGCCTAGACCCTTTTGCTGTTTTTTCTTTAAAGCCACACTAGTTCATTATTCTGCCTTCAACTCTCTTAAATGATTCATTCCCCCCTTTCACTCCTGAACAGACTCTGCAAGGAAGCTAGTATTTAAGTTTAATTTCTAGTGCCACTTGCTTTGGAGAGTTTGATGAGAGGAAAGGGGAAGAATCTAATTTAATAATTCTGTCATGGTTTGGAGAGGCACCCTCCTCCCCTACCCCAAAAAATAACTAGACAAACAAGACCCTCTGGCAAGCTATAATCGTGAGCAAAGACACCAGTCGGGAAAGCAGGGCCCACGTGTGGTGGGAGCTGTCACCCAAGGGAAGTGGCAGCCGGCGAGGAGGAGGGAGCGAGGGTGGGAGAATCGGGCTGCTGCTCGCAGCTGCGCCGGCCTGGGCGCTCCGAGAGACACCCGACTCCCAACTTGAATGTGCTTAGCTCTCTCCTAGACACTAGGCGGGGAGAAATCAAAGGACAGGGAGGCTGACTCCCGCATCCCCGGGAGCAGTCCCTGCAAAAGGGACTGCCCCCGGTGCGCGCCGCGGGCTTCCCCAGAAGCCCGAGCCCGTGCGCAGTACGCGCGACTCCACCACGTCCAGGGTGCCCCCCGCCTTACCGTCCCAGCTCCGACTCCACCTCGAAGAAATCGCTCAAAGCATCTCTATTGGAACCTTCGATCCAGTAATCCGGGACGAGGCTCCCGGCCCCCGGGGCCACACTGGCGGTGACCGAAGAGCAGGACGAGGCGGAGCACGAGGGCACCGTGACTTTGAGCATCTTCGCGGCGGGACTCCGGAAGCCGCCACCGCTGTCGCTGCCGCTGCCGGAGCGAGAAGCCCGGCCGCCCGCCGCTGCCTGCAAACGCAGGAGCGAGAGGTGGCGTCCTTCACACACTCGCACACACCCACCGCCGCGGCCGCCAGCGCCGCGGCCGCCGCCGCCGCCTTCCCCCGGCGCCTCCCCCGGCTCCCTGGGCTGCGCGCAGGCTGCAGCTCCTTTCCTGCACACTCGGAAAGGAGGGAGGGAGGGAGGGAAGGAGGGTGGGAGGAGAAGAGGGCGAAGAACTAGGAGAGGGTGTGGAAGGAGAACCCAGTCGCCACCAGCCTGAGAGGAGAGGCGGAGGCACTGCAAAGGGGAGAGATTCCCTCCCCCTTCGCTCCCTCCCTCCCCACCTCTCCTCCTCCCTCCGCCGAGCCTTTCCAGCCCCCTCCCTTTTTTCTTTTCTCCCTCCCAGGCTGTGGCTGCGGCGGTGCCGGCTTGGGCGGCTCTGGATGCTAGGAGCTTGGGGAAAGCACGAGGACCAGAGCATCATCCCACGCGCCCTCCCGCGGAAGCCAGGAACCTGGAAGGCACCACGCGCGCAGTGGGACGCTCGCCCCAGGAGTGGCGGACGCCCAGCGCGCTCTGGGAGCACATGGGTCTGGACCACCTAGCAGCAGAAGCGTGAGAGAGGGACCTGGCTGTCATCGGCGCTACTCATCCTTCCCGGAGCGCGTCTAGGTGGCGAGTCCCTCCCACCTATCACCAGCTAATCAGCCATCCCCTGTTCATCCCTCTGTCAAAGCTTATATTGGCAGCTGGGGAGGGTGCCCTGTGGTCGCCGATCTCCCAGAGCTCCTGTGCCCGCCCCCGTGATAGCTGGAGGAGAGGGAAGCGCCTGGGTCCTCACTGACCTGACTCACCTTTGAGTGAAGTCTTCAGTTAGAAGAGACGGAGCTGTGCTGCCGCCAACACTGCCCCCTTTAGCACTGTTAGCGCTCCTGAAAGGGCAGGTGTTTGCTGAGTGCGGTTCACTTTCAACCTCCGAAGGCTAGAACAGAAATGACCCAGAGAATTACAGGTCTGGAAGGGCCCTGTGGAAGCCTTAGGCGGGGATCGGTCACCATTCATGACAGAGAAGATTGCTACATTTAAAGCTCTTTACTCTTCCAAGGAGATGTGTCCCATCACAAGCATTCCAATGTCTGTCAACCTTCACACTGCTCTTCTAAGTACTGGTTAAATGTATCCCATTTGTATTTCTACCCTTGAACTTTTTTCTTTCTGGATTTCAGCAAAGACAAACAACAATCAGTCATGTTCTGTAATAAATATATATATAAATAGTTATTACATCAATCTCATTTCTGGCTAAATAACTCTAGGCCCTTTCTTTAACCTTACTTCACAGGTGTTACTTTCAGTACTTTTTTTTTTTTTTTTTTTTTTACTTTCCTCCAACATGCAATAAACTCTTCTCATATGTCCCCATTCCTGATAACACCAATAAACAAAGTCCAGTATTCTCCTCTAACTTATTGATTTATTTCTGACTCTTAAGAGCTTTCATGCTATATTGGTGAACTACCCTCCCCCCCAAAAAACCATAAAAAACAAAAACCAAAAATTAAATGATTAGTGATAGGAATATGATCCTTAGTTGATTGGAAATGAAAAAATAAACATAAAAACTATCCCTCACAGATGATTTTATGAAGATGAGCATATGCTCAATTTACAAATGGCCTAAAAAATAGAAAGTATATGTAGATTCATATATATTCAGTGAAATAATGAATTCTTTGGTGAAAGACTGAAAATGCTTACACAACATTACTTTTCAGAGAATGAGTTCACTAATCTTCATGTTAGAAAATCAAGTTCATACTCAAAGCAAGCTAATAAAGCTCTAAAGTAAATTCTAGTTCTCATGAAGTAGGTTTCCTTTGGCTTGCACTGACTGGTGGAGGAAGGGCATGGAGTAGTTGCTAGGCCATTTTTATTCACACTTCTTTAAGGCAAGTTCTGAAGTGGCAGCACTGCATGTATATACTTGTCTGTTGTGAGCAATTCTTTTACAACTTAAGTCCAAAGCAAGCATATTACATTGAAAGAGATGATAAGTCTTTTTACTCTTGCTATTTTAAGGAAAAATAGCCAAAGAAACACCATTTCATGGTATAGAGGAGATTGCAGAACTGATATTTACATTCAACACTGGTTTAGTCATTTGATATACCTATGCTTTTCAAAACTGACTTTTGTAGAAGTGCTATTAACTGATGTTTCAAAAGAGGGTATCTGGTTTAATAAATCAGTTTATGTTTATTTAAAAATAGAAGATTAAAATAAGTATTATCTTAAGACAAGTGGAACAGGATTGAATCCAGATGATTTATCTTCACTCCTTACGAAATATCATTTAAAATGATCGGAAGAAGAACAAAGGCATATATCCACAAAAAGAAAGAGAGAAATAATATCAACTAAATCCCAGAATCTAAGAACAGATGGACAAATGGTAACTGACTTAGAAGACTGGATATACCTGAAACCCAGATTCAAAATGGGAGAAGCCACTGAGAAAAAATCTAATTCTTACCATAAAATTCCAGATATGCTCAGGAATTGAGTATCAGATCCTTCTAAAGTTGGAACAGAAAATAAGATATCAGTTGAACACTTTTATAAGAAGTTTCTTAGGCCCCTACGTTTCTTCTTCCACCATTCATAGCCAAAAAACACACTTCCCAAACCCTTGGAAAAGAGAGGAGATTTAATCTTTGAAAATGTTGAACAGAAAATGAAATATGTTTTATATCACAAAATACAGCTAAGACCATATTGAAAATAGAGGGATTCATGAAACTCTACAACAAAATATGAGATTTCCAGGTCCATTAGGCTCCCAGAATGCTGAAAAATGGGCATATATCTATCATATCCCCAGCCATACAAGAAATTAAAGGATTCCTCACTAAGAAAACTAAGTAATTCAAGGAGAGAGGGACCTATGGATACTGACAATTAGGATACTTCCCAACAACAAAAATCTAATTTTTCTCAACACCTTACAGTGAAGGCTATCATTGAACAGGCCAAGGGATCCAAAGCTTCTAATTGCCTATTTTTTGTCTCACTCAAACATGCATGGATACGGTTCCATTCTGATATGGCAGAGTAGCTGGTATGACTAAACCTCCTGTATATAACAATTATAATCTCTGGATTAAATATAAAAAGGATTCTTTAAATGTGCAAGAGTTCCACCAAAATCAGAAAACTGAAAATTATGTAACCCACAAAAGAAAGGAACGTTTCTGAATTAGATGAGCATTTATTTAGCTTTTCCTCTGAGGGCTCTGCAAGCAACACAACTCTTAGTAGCTTGAGGTGTCAGAAAACAGAATTCAGGGCTGGCAGAGAGGCTAGAAATTGAGGAGCAAATTCCAAAAAGGAGGGAGCACAGTGAAAGAATCCAACAATCCACACATAAATTGTGCTCAAATACTAGGCTAATCTCTGAACTACACATAATGTGTGGGAAACTCCAAGGAACTCAGCAGAAAGCACAAAGCATTAACTGGAAGGTTGAAAAGCTGAGAAAAAATTTCAGCTGTTCCTTACCTCAGGAGAGAGACATGGTGTGGAGTATGAGTTTCACCAAGTTTAACTGTGTGTTACAAGAAAGAAAGAAAAAAAAACTCTTTAAGAAAAAAATAACAGAATCCAGAATCTCTGCAAGGAATCACTGACAACCTAGTATACAATTAAAAAAAATATTAGATATGTGAAGGGGTAGAAAAATGTGAACCACAGTCAAAAGAAATATCAACCAATAGAAATCAACACCAAGATGATTTAGATAGATTGGTATTCATAGACAAAGGATTTAAAACAGCTATTATAAATATGTTCAAATAATTTTTTAAAAAGATAATCACAATGAGTGTACAGATGGGTAATACTATTAGAGAAATGGAAACTACTCAAAAGAAAAAAATTAGAAATTTATGAATGGGCAAACTATCTGAGATTCGAAAAAAAAAAAAATCACTCGGGGCGCCTGGGTGGCTCAGTTGGTTAAGCGACTGCCTTCAGCTCAGGTCATGATCTCAGGGTCCTGGGATCGAGCCCTGCATCGGGCTCTCTGCTCAGCGGGAAGCCTGCTTCTCCCTCTGGCCCTCCCCCTGCTTGTGTTCCCTCTCTCACTGTCTCTCTCTCTGTCATTAAAAAAAAAAAAAAAAATCACTCAAATTGCTTATGGAAGAGTGCAAATTACAGAGGAAATAGTGGGTGAGCCTGAAGATAGACTATGCTATCTAACCTCCAAGATAGTCCCCCCTAATCATCTCCTGATAATCATGCCTTTCTGAGTTCACCTACCACACTGAATCAGGGTTGACCTATGTGACAAATAGAACATGGTAGAATAAGGGTATGTGACTTCTACAGTCATAAAAGCATTACAGAATTTGCCTTGACCTCTTGGATTGCTCATTCCAAGGGAAGCCAACTTACATGGGATTCTCAAACAGCTCCATGGAGATGGTAATGTGGAGAGGAACCAACTTACTAGCCATGTGAGTCAGCCACCATAGAAGTAAATTCCCCCAGCCCCAATCAAACCATCAAATGACTACAACCCCAGCCAACATCTGACTAAAACTTCATAAGAGACCTGAGCTGAGCCACACAACAATTCAGAATTTCAAATAATTCAGGATTTTCTGAATTCATAGAAACCGTAGGAGATAAATGATTACTGCTGCTATAAGTCACTAAATTTTGGAGTAATTTATTTTGCAGCAATAGAGAATTAATAATAGCATAGCTATAGAAATTATCCAATTTAGATAACAACATAGAATGAAAGCAAAAAGTTGGGAAAAAGGGGGCGTGGGGACAAGTCTCAGTGAATTATAGAACAATATCAAGATATCTTACATATCACTGGGTTCCCAGGAGATAGAGAGAAAGGACTGGGGCAGAAAATTTATTTGAAAAAAATGGCAGAAAGTTCCCCAAAGTTGATTTTGGTAAACAACATCAACTTATAGATTCAAGAATTTCAGAAACCCAAACAGAATAAGTAGAAATAAAATCACACATAGGCCCATCTAAGTTAAATGCTTAAAAACAATAGATTAAAAAAACAAACAAACAAAAACAGTTTTGAAAGCATCCCCTGCTGGAGGCATGGGGGAGAAAGAGAGAGAAAGAGAGAAGTAAATATATTATATATTATAGAGAAGTAATAATACAAATGACAGATGACTCCTCATCAAAAATAATGTAAGCCAAAAACAATGGAATGATACCTCTAAAGTTATTTAACTTTGAAGATATTTAACTACAAAAAACAAAACAAAACAAAACAAAAACAAATCCAGAGATCCAGAATTCCATACTAAAGGAATTTTTTTGAGGGGGTAGGAGCAGAGGGAGAGGGAGAGAGAGAGAATCTTAAGGGGGCTCCATGCCTAGCACAGAGCCCAATACAGGGCTCAGTCTCACAACCCCGAGATCATGACCTGAGCCAAAATCAAGTTGGACACTTAATCAACTGAGCCACCCAGGTGGCCCTAAAGGAATATTTTTAGGCTGAAGGGAAAGAAACAAAATGAAAACTCACATACACAGAAAGGAATGAAGATAGCAGACATGGGATATACATGTAAACAGAAAAAGCTCTAGTTCTTATTCTCCCTTTTATTTAAA